TTTAGATGTGTTGGTCTCTTTGCGGGTATCGATTTGGTCAAAAATCCTAACTCACGTGAACCTGCAACCGACGAAGCGAAGCAGGTAGTGAAAAGGTGGGTTACCGACCTTGTTTGAAAATTCGGTCCCTCGCCCCACTTATCTTGTGATAAAATGCTAAAATTAATGCTTTTGCGCAATAGCCTTTTGTGCATGCAGAAATAAAGGAAGAAGCTGAGCAAGTCGACACGTCAGAAACCATCGCGATAGTCTGCAACTTTATTGAATAGAAATTCAACAACCTGTGTACAGACCTTCGTGAAAAGAAGAAAAAGGAAAAAAGTTTTGAAACTGATGAAATGTCCTTCTGTCTTACACTTTCATGGTGGGGCAGTTTTTTGGCGCCCTGAAAATTAATGGTGGGGCTCTGATCTCCGTTTCCATGACATTAGTCAGGAGTGCTTTATTTTAAAGGCAGAGTTGATAATAGACAACAGCTGGTGGTAAACATAGTCTGCAGTCTGCTGCATCTTTCTGACAGAGAGGTGCTCATTTATCAGCCTCAGAAGGAAGAAAGTTTTGTGACCTTTTTCAGGACACTAAACTGAGACCACTCAGTTTTTAGTCCGACTTTCGATCCACTGACTATCGTCGGTGCTGACCAATAGCTATGGTCAGTATCGTGACATTGGCTATTTATTAAAAATGTTCTTTTTTCATGCCTCCAACTGCTGATTTGCAGTAGTATTCTGTCAGTTGATCGCTGACAGAATCTTTATGAAATTTCGAAAGCGTACTTCAATAAATATTAGTTTATCTAGCGGATATCATCTTCCATTGATGTAAAGCAAATCAGCGAGAAGGACTGTGTTTAAACGTTGGGATGCTGATCTCCCTTATACATGGACTTGAGTTGTAGCACTCTGACGAATTTCCGTGCAGCGCGAATCTCATATTCCGTTTCATCAGCCAGGAGTGGATCGTTTTTCAATGCTGTATACAGCTAGATTACCACTGTGGCGTGTTGGGTTTTGCTTCACTTCCCACGAGTGCCTGGACCCAGGACTTCATTATTATCGATAAGACATTTTCCCGACTAAGCAGTCCTGGAACAAGTCAGTGGGTCGAGATACATCGCAGTCACTTAAAACCCCTAGGCTGGATCGTGGACCGTAAGTTTCTTAGGCTCTGTTATGTTCCACCGCATAATTGATAGTAGGCCATCTGAGTTTTAATCGTTTCACGAATAAATATTTTAGCGAATATTTTATTTAGCCAAACATTGCAGTTTTTTTCGATGTGTCATACTAGGCAACGGTTTTATTGATTCATTTGTGTGTGTTCTGCTGTCGCCGTCTTCATTTTTCGCTCCAGCTTTGGTATGGAGTTGTTCAATAGTGATTATTACGCATTTCAATTTTAGAATGAAAGAGATGAACATCTGTTTAAGCTGCGAAGGACCATATGCCAACGTTTTGAAAATGAAGCCACCTCTTTGCTTTACAACGAAAGACGTAGACAAAGTAAGTTTTTTAAAATAGTTTTTGTTGTTTTCAAATTATTCGGTGCCAATGATTTAGGTGGTCGATCGACTTTGCCAGTGCTTTAGCGAGTTGGAAATTTCACGGGAAAAAGTTTGAAACTGTTGATAGAATGTTGTATGTTTGCCGCATAGTTTAAAAGTCACGTTGTTTTGTTAAGATGGGCTTGTTCTTTTAGTTTTATTCTGTTTGTGTAGGAGTTCTTTGGTTTGTGATTGATTGATTAAGTGATTTGCAAGTTGACATTCAGTTTTAGAATATTACAGTCTGTGCCGTAATTCTGCTGTATGTTATTATATTCTAGGAAACGGTATTAAGTATTAAGGTAGAGTATTATGCGCAGGATTAAGTATTATGAGTCGTGAATAAAAATTTGTTCCAATAGAGATAATCTTGGTTAACAATAAAAACAGCGCCAGACATTGTCGGTAAGATGTACTCGACGAAGGCATCTTGCCTGATTTATACGAAATGTTCTATCAGCCGCCTGCCTGTTTTTCAGGCTAATCAAGGATTTTACAACACTCGTTTGCCCATCTCCCTTCATGGAAACAGATACTCCGCACTTACTGTTATCATGGCAGCATGTAGAAGTCCACATTTAACGAAAGAGAACGTGGAGTTTTACTTCCATCCCCGTTCCTACACGACTAACTCCGGAGGAATTCAGTCCAACCGCAGACCTTCTTCACCTTGATACGTAGCAAGACTAAACTTCTAGCACTGTGACCGGATTTGGATACCCTTTAGTGCTAATAGGCAGTTAACGGTCAGAAATGACGAACCTGAAAGGCAGCTGCTGAAAACTTGATTTGAGGCGTTCATTTTTAACTGTTAATGGGACACAACATCTTTGATGTTTGAAAAAAAATATGTACATGAAAATTCTTTACGAGATGACCCCATATCAAATATATTTTATACGTGTTCTCCGTTTCAGATCATGTTTGATCTGTTTTCAGGAAGAGAGCATGACAAAACAGAAAGTTATAAGATAAATCAGTAAGTCAGATGGCAACTTCAGCATGTAGGTTTAGGCACCGATACTTGAAGCTGCTTCATAGTTTCGTATATGTATATATATGGTCACAAACGGGAAAAGCAGAAAGCAAACAGCACCACTAATTATGCGGGTCAACCAGACTCGCATGAAAACTTTTGTGCTTTTGTCAGTATACTCTGAAGATGGCCTGAGCGTGGCTCGAAACGTCAGATGTCCCTAGTTAAAGAACATTTGTCTTTCCCGTTTATGACTTACCGAAAGATTATATCTTCTTCCGCATAAAGAAATGTACGTTTATATATATTTATATGACTTGCTGATAGTTTAACTACACATATGGATAGAGGGATTATAACCACTAGCTCCTCATTTACCTTAGGCGAAAGCATCATGAAATGCGATCATGTGTGTCGGAGGAAGATAATATCTGGCATAGCATGATAACTTGAACCAGCGACGAATTGCGCCGGTCACAACACTATGTTGTCATAACGAATAAGGCTTTGGTACTAACTGGCAAGGTTGACGGTGATCATGATGTGATATGGCCTTATAATGTACCTTGAAGATTAAGACAAGATGGATGTTACTGGTCAAAGCTCTCGAAGAAATTTATTTGGATCTGTATATTCTCTAAAAGTTTTGCCAGCTTAACCATTACCACAACAGAAAATCTCTATCTCACATAAAACTTCATTTAACACCGTCAAGCATATAACCGGACAACATATACAAGTATTAGATTAAAATCTGAGCAAAATATCAGAAGTAAAGTAACACATGGCGTATATAAAACAGTATATAAACATAAATATACAGAACGAGTTGCGCTTGACAATCTTGGCAACAGACTTCGCCCACATTCCCGATAATAAGAGGTGCACCGAAAGTTAAAATGGCAACTGTGCCGAATGAAAATACAAAGCTTAAAACTTCAATAATATGTAAATTATTTCTGAAACTTATCGTTTCGGTGTCTCCTTCAATAAATTGCCGGTTCGGTGGTTCTAGACATAGAGAGAGCGAATCTAGGACCACAGAATGGGCGAAATCTTAAATTATAAATTGCGACAGTGGATCACAAATGCGAAGGTCCATTACGTACAGAC